TTGGATTAAACTGACTGATCTGAGTTGGTTAGTCTGAAGTAGTTCTGATAGCTCCACAGAGCCACAAACTAAATACGACTTTTAGGTACAAACTTCAGGAGTGGCTCTTCAAGTCAGAAGTCTCTGAAACATCATCATCATGGTTGATATTTAATGAATGCTTACTATATACCATGCACTGTACTAAGCCCTTTATATGTATTATCTTATTTGATCCTCACAACACTCCTGTATAGAAAGTGCTATTATTTGTCCCCCTGTTTCAGGTCAGGCAACTGGGACTTAGATTGTAGAACTTGCTGAAAGGGATTAGTGGATTCAAATGCTTTTATGTATTGTCTCTCTTAAGAAATAATAATTGGCCTTAATTAAAACCTAAATAATAATAATAATAATAAAATCTACCATTCAATTGTTGGAATCTTCTTCTGTCCTGGTATGCTCTCTGGCCAGATTGAGCATAATGGGATTCTGAGGTGATTTTTGTTACAGAGATAGAGTCTAAATTTATTATGCTTACTTAAGAGCTAAAGAATCATTTGTTTGGTAAAACACATACATGCAAAAAGCAGCAAATCTTCTTTCTTTTGAAAATTTTACAGCTAATGCATTACTAAAACTTATTAATCAACATATTGGAGAATGTTACATATATTTCAACTTGTACAAAATGAGGTTATTGTGAAGTGCATAGCCACATGTGAGCTATAAGAAAGGCAAGATGACAAAGCCTCGCTGGAGTGATATGTGCATGCTTAATAAATAAAAAATGTGCAAACACCTTTTCTGTTTATTTGAGAATGGCTGCGTCCTTGTTAAATCAACTTACATGACACTTTTTAAAAGCATCTCACTTTCAGAATGCTAAGTAGGGTCTATAGCTCAAATTCCAAATAGAACCCACAAAGCTAAAACATATTATTTTAGTATAGTAAAACAAAACAGTGACAAAAAACTCCACAAAACAACAACAGCATTAGACTAAGTTCTAGCCCCAGCCGTATCACTTGGGCAAGTCATTCAATTTCATAGGCATTGGTTTTGGGAATATGATAAAAATGAAACCAATCATCGCTCAGGTTCTATGGGTCTAAGGTAGACAATACC